CCAAATGGTTGTGCGTCTTGCATGCAAAATGCACTGAGTACAGCAGTGTGAGCTGACCATTAGAACAATGGTGGGGAAAGTGGTGGTGGTGGTGTTGGCAGTGGCGGAGGAGGGTGGCTAGGCAATTCACCCAGCGACCCTTTCCCTATCAGCCTAGCGACGAGAGAGACTGGTCAATGAATATTTTATTTGCACCGCTCCACTGGACGCTCTTTTCTGCGCCGCTCCGAGGAGGCCCCTTTGCCGATTAAGCAAACTAACCAAATTAAAAAAAGACCATTTTGGGCTAATTAAAATGAAGGCAATTTGTCAGGAAGACGACGATTGCATGCAGTGGTCAGAGCACTAGCTAGTCAGTGTTTGTGTGTGCTTGTGTGTTTGTGTGTTCTCACTCACCGGAATTCGTCTGTTTGCATTCACTTCGATCATTCGTCGCAGAAGGTCTTGACATTCAGGAGGCACAAAATGGGGTATGTGAAAAGTTCCGCGCTTCACTTTTTCAAGCAGTTGGCGTAGGTTATCGTCATCAAAAGGTAAGGCACCCTGCACGAAGAGAAAAACAGGAGATAAACACAGAACAAATAGCTTTAACACGCGAGTAAAAGCTACAAAAAAGAAGAATAAACTTACCACTAGTAGAGCATACAAAATGACGCCCACCGACCACACGTCTGAAGAAGAGAAAGAAAGAAAAGAGAAAAAAGTGTGGGTAATGGAGGCTACATTAGCAGAGGGGACAAGTCTTCCTAAGAGAGGACAAGTCCGTGCAAACACACACACACACTGCACACAGTGCATACACTCACCTGCCTGGCGTCCGTCGTACTTTTCGCCCTGAGCGAGAGAAAGAAAAGAAATGAAGGGAAGAAAAAAGCGCATTAGTCTGTGTCAAGTGCAGTGTCTCGAGTGCAGGCAACTACTCTGTTAGCTGCTGCATTCTTTGCATTGCCAACTCACTACTGTTTCAAAAGAGCAGCAGTCACTCTCAACTCAGTCAGTTAGTTTCCACTGTTGTCCATTGTTGAAGCAGGACTCAAACAGTGACAGCACTTCTTTCTGGTCAATATTTGTTCAATCTTCAACTTCAATTTGCAAACTAATTAAATGTCCTGCTTTACACATCATCGAAGTGGCAGAAATTGTCCTTCCTGTCTAGTGCTATGTCGTTCCGTAGTCAATCTGTGCTCATATATGGCCGAGAAGTCATGCAAAGCAAAAGCAACCGCAAAGCGGGGAGAAAGGCATCTCTCCTCTACAAAGTGCAGTTTAATGATTGCACTCAGCAGTGACCACATTGAAATTATTATTGAGCCTGACACTGCGCCTGAAATCATTTGGAATCAGCCTGCACATCTCATCTTCAGCTTTCTGTCATTGGTCAGCCTATCCACAGTTCTTTCCTTTTTTGCTGTCTGTATATAGCACCTTTAGTGGAGTGGTATCTCTCCACCCAGTGTGAGTCTAATTCCAATAATCTTACCCTAATGATCTCTGGTGATGCATAGTGCGGGCTTCCGCAAGAGGTCTCCAGCATAGAGCCGTCCATCTGCAGTGAAGCCATTCCGAAATCGGCAATCTTTATATTAGTTTTCTCGTCCAGAAGAAGATTCTCGGGCTTTAGATCTCGATGGCTAGACGGGAAAAGGGCGATTAGTTGAGAAGAAGATCTAGCAAGAAGCAAAAGTGACATGAAGGGATGAAAAACTCACCAAATGGAATGACTGTGGCAAAAGTCTAATGCAGAAATAATTTGACGAAAAAATCTTCTTGCCTCTTTTGGCGTGAGCCTTCCTTTCTTTACCAAGTAGTCAAACAGTTCACCGCCGCAAACGTGCTCCAAAATGAGGTATCTGAAAAGGGGTGAAAAATGAGACGTGGACACTGGCGATGACAGTCTACTGTTTGGCTCGAACACTACTTACAGGTACTTTTTATTTTCATACACGTCGAACAGTCCCAGCACATGCGGGTGTTCGATTAGCTTCATGATGGCAATTTCCCGTTCGACCTGAAGCAAGAGATTAGTCGGTAAATGGCGTGCTGTAAAACTGTAAAGCTGCAAAACTGCTAGCTAGACAAGTCCAATAAGGAAACCCGTCTTTTGTGGTGGACAGCGGTGGTGATGGTCAGAAGAAAAAGAAAGGAAAGTAGAAAAAAAGAGGACACCATCCCCCCTTTTACGAGTAATCGCACTCGTAAATCTAAATTTGGTTCATTTGGCCAGCCGCAAAAGCAAAGCCCCCAGCCCAAAGCATTAACCTCAGCTCGACCCCGTTGGAGTACACATTTTATTGGTACTTACTTTTTGGAGCACACTTTCCGATAGCTTCTCTCGGTTGACAATCTTGACTGCAACTTTCTTGCCTGTGACGCAGTGGACGCCGAGTTTAACCAGACCTAGTAAAGGAGAGAGAGAGAGAAAAGACGTAAAGGGATGGTTAATTTCAAACATAGTGATCCGACAAGTCATTGATTGAATTGAGATTGCACTGCATGGTGGGTCCCCTATTACACTGCAGACTATTGATCTGCAGACNGAGAAAAAAAAGACGTAAAGGGATGGTTAATTTCAAACATAGTGATCCGACAAGTCATTGATTGAATTGAGATTGCACTGCATGGTGGGTCCCCTATTACACTGCAGACTATTGATCTGCAGACTAGCAGACTGACTCGCTCACTCACTGATCCTATTAGGCACATGGAGATGATGATGCTACTGACACACGAGACAAGGCTGCTGCAACTGCCGCTGTTCCAGAATGAACCAAAGGAAGGCAAACAGGCAGAGGCTGACATTGCCAGATTAGCCATTGCTGATAGGCAGTATCAGAGGGCAATCAATTGGCGGCATTAAAAGAGAATGCAGACTGCACTGCTGCACTGCTTCGAGTGTGCTTGGGTGCATGGTGGTACGATGGCGGTGGCCTCTCCTTCACCACTGAGTGGCTGTACGTCTCAAAACAAAGGCCTAAATTATTGATTACGAATTGATCAACGATGGTAGTAAAAGTGAGTGAATGAGTGTGTGTGTGCGGCTAGGGAAGAGAACTAGTGAGTGCAGTGAGCCAGGCACCGGCACGTTCAGTCGAGATGGCTCCTTCTCTCTGTCTTTTGCCTGTGTGTGGGCCCATCGATACGACGAACAAAACGACGTCTCTTGCAGTGTACGCTAAGCGCTGCTTTGCCTCTCCTTCCTCCCTCTTTGCAGTGCCTCATTCTTTTGGGGCACGTCGACAGTCGCGCCCAAGTTGCTAATCTCAGCTTAAGTGAAGCTAATCTGAAAGTGAGGCGCCAAAAATGAGCTGTCTATGCATCTGTGCGGCAAGAATGTGCACAGTTCTTCTACCACTGAGTTGTCTGCCAGGCACCGTCGCTGCTTTCTGCTGGCTCATCTAAATAATTAGAGCGAATATTTTCATCGTTTGAATGTAGCAATGAAAATTTAATAACGATTTGATGCAAATGCATGCAAATGAAAGTGTTCATCGGCAATGAAAATTAGTTTGCTGCCTCTATCTCTTTTTCTCTCTTTCTCTCATTTTCTATCTTTTAGACGAATATAAAGACTAATTCGAAGCAAATTAGATTAGCCCATTGCCGTTTCGTGGCGGTAACAATGAGCAACGGAAACACTCCTCTCCTTCGGTATTTCTCTCTCACTCTACATTTCTGCCCCGAATGATGGCCCCTTGGCGGGCAAACATTTTCTCCTGTTTCAAAATAGCGCACATCTTTAATAATTCATTGCAGATTTACTAAACAGAGGAAAATGAGAGAAAAAGCGATAGGGAGACTGAGAACCAGGCAGCCAGCAGTCCAGCCAGCTACTGCTGACGAGCCATGGACGAAATCAACGCGTTTCTGGTGAACTAAAGAACAAATTGCAGCTGATGAATAGCGGTGGGCAGAGAGTGCAAAAGTAAAATGAAATGAAATGGACGGTGCAGCTAGAGAGTGAGATGGTGCTGTCGGTGGTGATGGTGGTCGGCTGCAGACCACTGCCAAACTGTCTGCCTGCCTAAACGGCTATAGCCTTGGGAGCATTCACACTGCCGACAAAAACAAACAAATGGCTAGCTCCGATTGGCTTCACACACACTGCTTCCACTACTACTACTACTACTACTACTACTACTACTACTACTACTACTTTGCTGACAGTGAACAGTGCCAATTCATTAGTTAGCTTGGTCAGCTCTAAACGAAAACTTTGACCAGTCGTTAGAAAAGGGAAGCAGAAATGAATGGAATAGAGGAAAACCTCTAATGAAATATCGATTATTGGCACTTCCAAGTGCGACAAAACACAAAGTAGCTTCCTTTCTTTTTCCTCTTTTTGTGTTTTCCAGTGTTTACTGATCGACTTGCTGGTGCTGCTGCCATAAAACTGCCTCCTCTGCAAACGTTCTGTGCGCCAATCGTGATTGGCATTGAATTGTGTCATGCTAATTGTCCCTCAATTAAAGAGTGCAATTAAGTGCGAACAATGGTCGGTGCTCCAGTGAATGCATTCCTCTTCCTGCCGTGGTCACTGCCACTTGAATTCATTGCACTGTCCTCAGGCAGCAACTGCAGCAAAAGCAGCTCACTTTGCCGCACAGCATTTCTCGCTGAAAGTGAGTCGAGACACTCATTAGTCGGCAAGCACTCGCAAGTTGGCGTTGCCTGGTCACATTGTCCACTGTATCAGCTTGCTACACATGCGAAATTAATTTATTGTTCACGGTAGAGATTAAATACAATTCGTGGCCAGTTGAATGAGGTAAAAATGCGAAGGGCAGCAAAAATAGAAAAAGAGAAAAAATGATCATTAATGGTGCCAAAATGTGCATCAGAAAAGTGGCAAAAAATAACACTGATTATCTAAAAATAAAAAAATGACGATGAAAGTGTTTATTGATCGAGATGAAAAATCGAAAAATGCTAAAAACATAAAACCGACAGTCGGTCGATCGAACTGTCTCAAGGTCAGAAAAGCGGAATCTTAGATAAAGGCGAGTGATTGCAGGTGATCGAAGATGTCCTTTAAATAATTCATTTCTCTTGTAAATAAGTAATGCCCGGTGTTGCTCTTTAATTGGTCCGCCTTCTAAGGCACTTGGATGCTGGCAAATTAATAGTGCAATAAAAGCAAATCGAATTAACCATCGGTGAATGTATGCCTGTGTGTGTACGCAAGGCAAAAGCAACGTGAGTGAAGTAAAGAAGGCAGAAGGCAGTCAATGGCAGACAGACAGACACTCACAAGAAAAGAGCACTTGAAGTGGCCGAGGCACATTGAAGCCGCGAGTGAAGCCTGCTGGCGTCTGCAATCGCCTAGAATGCGCCTTTTCTGGCCATTGGTTTTCACTCTCTCCTGCTTTTTCCCTTTCTATCCTTCGTACACACAAGAACACACATACCCACTTTACCGTTGCAGCTGCCCAAGTGAATGAGTTCATTCAATATTAATACACACACACACAATGGCGAAGTGAGCGAGTGAAGGCAGCCAGGCAAGTGGGCCCTCGTCAGCTACTAGCAATTCATATTTACAAGCAATTAATTGACTACAAGAGCATTGTGACACTGTGCTAATGGTGGCCATCATTTGGTGCACGCGGAGAGGACACCTTCTGTCAGGAAGGTTGCCGCTCTTGCTCTCTCTCTCTCTCTCTTTTCTCATTGTCCAGCACAAGCAGCACCAGCACCCATTAGAAGACTGCTCCACGTTGAGGCAAATGGCCAATTTGCAGGCGGTATTATGTATTTACATAATTGTCACAGTACAGTGCGTCGCACATCATGTGTGCCTGTGGTTGCAGCAAGAGAATAAGAGAGTGAGTGAAAGCCACCAAAAAGTCAGCAAATCGCCATTCGCCATTCACTCACCTCGATTAGGCAATTCGAGGTGAGCTTTGTGTGCTGTCTTCTGCTGTGCTGTGTGCCACACTGCTGCCGTGCCTTCTGAACATCAAACATTATGCCACCACCATACAATGTTTTCTTTGGGCACTGCACTTCAGTCAGCAGTTCAGCAGTATCTTCCTGCCTGCAGCAGTCGCCGGCCCTGCTTGGATCGATCACCTTTGAGCGCGACCAACTTTAAAGAAAGAAAGAGAGCGAGTTCACAACAGCGACAAAGTTTTTTGTTTACTCAGTGGAATGTGTGCGCACATTGTGTGTTGTATCGCCGGCACATCTGTTTCGGCGTGTATAAAATTAATTCGCCAGCATGGCAGTAGTAGTAGTGTGGCCGTAGAGTAGTGCGGCCAATAATTGCCGCCTCAGCCTGAGCACTGCCTGAACGCTTAATGGGCCCGCTACTGACGACCGGTAATATTTATAAATTAGCCAGTGACAGTTGCATCGAAGCAGTTAATCGGACAGTGTTTGAGGCTGCTCTCCTACAGACTGAGCATCCACTGAATCAGTCCAGCAAGCAGAGCCTCTCTCTGGCAGTGTCTCTTTGGCAGTGTGTGTGGCCTCGATCAAGGAAGCAGTACGAAGACATGCCTTTGTGCACTGTTTCCCTGTCCCTTTGGAATGTCATTAGTCTTATTGTTTTATGGCCATTCTACATGAAACAACTTTGCTGCCTTCTCCCAATAAAGAAGCTCAGGCAAGCTGCACCCGAGTTTGAGGCCAAATAGGCGTCAGTGTCATTAGTCAATGCGAGACACAATGTGGCGGTGGTAGAAGTGAAGAAGGAGGAGGGAATATTGGAAAAGAGAGAGAAACAGAAGGAAAACGACACCAGACGACACTAGACGACAGCAGTGACCAGTGACAGTGCAGAGAGTGGGAGATTGAAACAAAAAACAAGAAATGAGTGTGTGTTGGCGGGCAGTAGAGTACCAGGACTGGTGCCACCACTTGTCTGTCGCTCTATTAATGGGGAATTAATGCGTGCAGCAGTGTACCGAGCGCTGGCATCATCGTGTGATTGCTTAATTAGTGAACTGCAGAAGCAATGCTGATCGAACATGCACTGACAATTCGCTCCAGCGTCATCGGGTACTGTGGAAGTGGAGGGGAAGGAAGAAGAGGCACTAGCCAACTGATAGAGTCGGAGTGTTCGGTGACAGGCTGTGCTGCTGCCAAGTGGCCACACTGTGTCCGTAGACAGAGCAGAGAAAGAGAGAGCGGTCAGCAGAGGGAGCAGGGCGCCAGGAGTATGCTTTGGTGGCAATGGGCAGACTGCTTAGACAACAGAGGACACAGCGAGGCACTGTGCCCTGTCAGGGATCACTTATTCAAATGTCAAAATGTTGCCCATTCACATAAGCGTCCAGAACAAGATAATTGGAAGCTGCTGCTCTATCTAATTGGCTCATGATGCTCATAGAAAGAAAAAGGAAGAAGAGCAGTCGTTCTTAGTGGGCAGCGGCAGGGGGAGGGGAAGACTGGAGGGGAGAGACTTAGCGCAATAAATGGCCCTGCAAAATCTGGGAAGACAGTGATAGTGAGAGTTAGTGAGTGCTCCAAGATTAATTCGCTCATCATTGGATGCCATTCAAGTCATGCCTTCGACCTCTCCCTCTTCCTTCCCAGTTTGGGGAAGCCATCAAGCAGACGTGCTCTGCTCTGCGCCAATCCGTTGAAAGCGTCAATCAAAGACGGCAATTTAAGAGAACTGCTGTCGTCTCCTGCCGTAGCCACTGCCGCCGCCGGTTTGAAAGCGGCAAACAGTCTTTCTCTGGCCAGAGAACAACAGCAGCAATCTCTGGAAATTGAGTGATTGTCTGCCGCTGGTGCAAGGGTATCAAAATCAATAGCAGAGACAGCAGAACAGTGCCAAATTAGAAGGAGCCGTCAAGCTGTTTTCAAGCAGTATATATTCTACCCTGTTTGAGTCAAACCACTACAAGGCAGCGCCCTGCTTCCGTGTAACTGTACCTCCTGACGTAGGCGTACAGCGTGATTCATTCAATTAATAATTGCCTGCACTGCTTTATATGTTTGCCTGAATTGAATTGAATTGCGACTTTTCACCCAAAACAAATGACGTATGTAGTGTGTGTGAGTAAAGGCAGAAGGAGGAAAAGGAAAAGGAAAAAGAACCAGAGAAAGAGACGAAGAAGTGTTTTCTGCTCAAGCCAACNTTAATAATTGCCTGCACTGCTTTATATGTTTGCCTGAATTGAATTGAATTGCGACTCTTCACCCAAAACAAATGACGTATGTAGTGTGTGTGAGTAAAGGCAGAAGAAGGAAAAGGAAAAAGAAAAAGAACCAGAGAAAGAGACGAAGAAGTGTTTTCTGCTCAAGCCAACCGGTACTGAGCGTAAGGCACAGCGATGGCTCGGTTGTTGATGTTACTACTGGTACTACTGTTCTGCTGCTGTACGGGCATTTAGAAAAAGAAGTGCACGGGCGTGAATTATAATTCCATTTGTCTTTCTATCTGATGGCAAATTGAAATTCTCATGAGGCATTCGGATGCTGCTGCTAGTGAAGCTGTTTTTTGCCGTTCATATAAAAAGCCGAAAACGACCAGAAGAGGCCGAAAGGATAGCCGACAGAGTGGCATTAAAAAGACTAAGATGCTCTTTTCTTTTTCGTTTCTATCGCCTTCCTGTTCGGCTCCACTAGCACCGGCGACCTGGCCGGGTATTGCCCAAACAGAAGTAGCAGCAGGCAAAGGAAGAAAAGCCATCAACTGCAAATCGGCTCCACGTTGGCAGCCTAGCCAAGTCGAAGCCGCTTCCTGCCGTCTTTTTCACTAGGTTCTACGGAGTGCGCAGTGAACCGATGCAGGACAAGGCAGGCCATGTTATTCGCCAGCGATTGACACCAGACCACAAATTGACTCGTAGCGAATGCTAGTGCGAATGGCACATTTGCAAACACACACACACACTGCTGTTGTGCTCACCTGCTTCCCATCATCATCACCATCTCTCTATTGGCATTTCCAAAGCATCGAGGCAAATCATTTCAGCTCAAATGCGCAAATCAGCGAAATGACTTGCCGCAGAAGTGCCACCAGAAAAAAAGTGTTCACTCCTTACTTGGCCAAAAGTCTGGCAGCTTTCCACAAATCATCACTTTGGCAATCAGTTATAGTTTAAAGTTTTCAAACCCAATTGTGTGTATCGCGCAATCTTAGCTTACTGCCGCCGATTAAGCGATACGACCAGCAAGCGACAGCAAAATATTAGGCTGAGCTATTTTCGGTGGCGATTTTATCATTATTTGATTGAACACTCTAACCGTTCACTGAAAGAAATTTTATGCTCTTTCTTATGATTGCTTAAGGCTGCAACATTGTGCCAGCTAAACTGTGTGCTCTAAACTGCAACTCTAAAGCGTGTCCTCAAGGCGAGCCAATCGATCGAAGCAGTTTGTGTGTGTGTGTGTTTCGAAAGGCAACAAAACGATCATCACACTGTGCACACTAATGACCGGCCGGTGGGTGCTGCTGTTGATGACATGATGTGAAGGCAGGCTTTGACAAAAAGAAGCCAGTGCTCTGACCAAAATGAAGGCAACAATCAACAAATAGCCAGCTCTGGGTTGAGCCTACATCTGATTTGTTTGCCATATAGAAACAGGCACAGTTTGGTTTTGCTTGTTGAGCACGTTGCACTCTTTCGTGTAACGTCAACTAGCAGGCAAAAGATGCACCAAACCACTGACAAAGGCTTGGAAAAGCTTCTGCCCCAGAAAGAAATCTATGCAGTACGTGGTCTAATCTGCGACATTGTGGGACTAGCTATAAATAGCGCTCTATATATTTAGCAGTTGTTTGGGCGGCCAGGCCGAGAATAGTGTGCTCGCTGATAAGGCATTGATGCGTTATGAGCAAAATTCTGCTTCCGTTAATTGGTCTCTTCTAGGAAAGTTCTCATGGCGTCAAGGCTTAGGCGGTTGCTATGATGCTGGCAGCAACAACAATATCAACGATCAGCAGGGGCAACTAAAACAAAGCTGTACGACGACGGTGAAAGTTGACTTCCAGGGAAACTGGTGATGTGGTGTCCACGATGGCCGAACTCTGCACTGGCCAGTGGCCTACGTGCCCGGCAAGAGGATCAATTAAAAGCGGGCACATCTAATGAGCGAGAATGAACAAACACACACATAGTAAAGACTTTGGAAGGAGCAAGACAATAGGGCAAAGAGTCCACCCGCTTTCGTGCTTGCTATCCATCAATTTGTCTATGGAGTCCTGAGCTTGCACTGGCTGCTGCTGTTGCTGCTGCAAAGTTGCTGTTGCTACTCTTGCCTGGACCAATCTAATTTGATTAACTCGTCTCGCCTGGACTAGCTGCAGCCAAATTATGAAGGCGATAGAGGATAGAAAGACAACACAAGGCGAGCGCGAGCACACACACACACACACAAACCTAATTATCTAAATAGACGACGAACAGCTTATCGAGGAGGTCAATTAAACTTAAACCTTGTCTTCTACAGCAGCTGAAAAGTGCATAGTGTTGGTGATGACAATGAACCAGAATCACCGAGAACACTTTCAATGGTCGTCGCTGGTGGTGCTGAAAAGTGCCGCCAATAGGGTTGCCTTTGTTTGCGTCTCACCAGCCACTTAAAGAGCACTTAATCGAATTATCGTTCTCCTCTGCTCAGTGGACAAACAAGGGAGAACATTTTCCTTTTGAGGGTAAAGTGTTCTCCAAAAAAATGTGAACAGCAGACTGAAGAAAAGTGAGACTCAGTACAGCCGTTGGGGAGATGCTAGGCGCTGTTCAGCTGAAGATACATTGGCAGCCTTGAAACCGCTTTGCCCTTGCCTTAATTAAGACTGTCCTGAATATGGCCCCGCAAATGATGTCGGCAATTGAATTGTGGCCACAGTAAATATATACATCTATAATGCACATTGTGTGCACAGAGCGGTCAGTGAAAGCAAGTGAGGAGGATAGTGGTGGACGTCAGCGTTCGACTGACGTGTGAGTGGCCATTGCCGGCGGCAGTGGTGCCCAGTAGCTGGTGCTGCAGATCAGTAAGAAGAAGGAATCAATTAAATTAGAGCAGATCAGTGCAGCAGAGAAGACACCCGGGTAGTTGAGCAGTCGATCAGTGCAGCAGCAGTTTCAGAAGAAGCAGCAGTCTGCCACCAGAGATACTGCTCAGACTGGCCACGTAGACACTGAGTGCACTGCTGCTGAGTGCAATGTGCTCCAATGGACGCAGCCAGAAGGGAATTGCAGTGGACATGGAGAGAACAACAACACAAAAAAGAAGAAAAGAGAAGAATAAGACACCAGCAGAAGTTTGGCAGCACTATTGTTCGTACAGCTGACGGCAATCAGCCAAGTTGAACATTTCTGTCTGAACATTTTGGTGAAATTGACATGACGGTCACTTTGGCAGACATCAAATTAGAAAGAACGAAAAAGATATAGCTCTTTGAGAGATAAATAGTTTGTAAAAGAACTAAGCATTTAGAGTTGTCAAGGACAGTCTGTGTTGTCGAGCACTGCAGCCCACATAAATGAAGCGCCATCGATGTTAGACATCGGTTGTTTTGACTTACCCGTTTGACCCTTGCCGAGGGTCTTCTCCAGTCTGTACGGCCCGACATACTGGTAGACGTGATGGTGCTCTTGGCTGTTGTTTACATCAACTCGCGAAGACATTCTGCGGGTGGTTCTGCTTCTTGGTGGCTACTAATGCCTTTTGGTGAGGGCGTTCTGCACAAACGAACTGCTGTACATTGCACAGTGCAACGAGCCCTGACGACGTGCTGATTTTGAAGTGGTAAACTAGGAGGATGTGCTAGTTGGGCCAGCAGATGAAAAGAATTGGATGAAAGTGAATTGGTGAATTACTCGACGAGCGTCAGATTAGTGCGAGTTGAGTTGAAGTCTCATTTTCGAGGTCGAGCAGACGATATTGTGTGTAGGGCGAAAAGAAAAGAGAGTGACGGCGCAATTCAGTGCAGCAAAGCGGACGAAAGGGGAAGATGTTGTTGAGCGGTTGCCACTAAAGAAGATGGTTGTGGTAGTCTCAGAAGGGCGAGTATTGCATCACTAAATTTTAAAGAAAACAGAAATAGAAATCTAGTGCACAAACCGGTGAGCTAGGGCCGGTGGATGAGCGATGAGTGGAAGAAAGCAGTGAAAGCTAGCCAGAAGTGGAGCCCAGTGGAAGAAGGGCACAGTGTGCAAAAGAAGAAGTGAGATCAACAGAAAACATGCCACGAAATCAGGCTGTGCCGAAGCACTCACTCACTCACACACGCAGAAACAGAGACAGACAGACAGACTCGGCACTTTTGGTTTCACGAGACGTGAGGCGCAACGATTTGCTGCTGCTGCTTACAGTCAAAATGCTATTCTGTTATGTGCTGCTGGATCCAGTGTGCTGCTGGAGCGAGGATCGCCTCGGCCGACCACAGTTTCAGACGGAGCAGAGAGAGAGGACGGCACCTGCGCCGTCGTGCCGGGACAGTGCAAATGTCAGATAGTGCAAGGAGAGACCAGAATAGGAATAGGAAGAGTGAGAATAGAACGGCAGAGGACACAGAGTAGCAGACCAGAGAATAAAAGAGAGAGAAAGGAATCGATCGATGGAATTGTGCGTGTGTGTGTGTTCAGCTGAACGACAGTCGATGCCCGCCCGTCCCTCGCTGTCTCTGTCCGCTGTCCTCTTCCTCCCTGTCCCCTTCTTCTGTCCTCTCTCTTCGTGTGCCCCTTCCGTCTGAAGCCTAGTCTTCGGAGCAGGAGCAGGCGCGCACACAGGTCTGAAGGCCACGCCAGCAGCAGAGGGAACACAGGCGCTGGCGCCCATACCACTTCGGTGATACGCCCGAACTAGCCAGGCGGCAGCCACGGTCAGCCACTGCTCAAATTCCACTGCCTTCCACTGAATTGTTTTACATTCTTAGTCGACAAACCGGTGCTAGGGAGAGAACTCCATCTGCTGGTACGCCATACAAATAGAGAATTGTGTTTTTGACAAAATACGTTTGGCGAGAATATTGTGCAATATTCACTTGTAATGACCGCAGTGAATCTGTGATAGTTTGCATTGAAAATGATTGCTGTAATGAATTTAAGGGCACGAAAGGGTACAGACAAATTCAGAAGATAGCTAAAATTAATCTAAAACCACGTCAAACTTCCATTTGTTCTACAAGGAGCAAAGGTTCGAAATGTTCTAAAACACGTCAATAAAACAGCACCAACTTGCTTAGTTGACAAAATGTCCCCTGATAAAAAAATTTTTTTATGCTCCAACTTTAGACAACTCTGAAAGAATCCGGCGCTGGTAAGTTTAGTTCTTTCCCTCAAACTGTGCAATTTGATTATTGAATTGTGGTAGCCATTAAATTAGCACCGAGTTTTCGTTTGGTTAGTGGTTGCTCCCTGTCGGCAAATATCAGTGACATGAGTCGCATCCGAACTGGATAGACAAAGGGGGCAGTGCGTCTCATCAGTGCGACGCACATGTTCTGCCGCTGCTGATACCAGTTTAGAGTGTTGCCTGGTGCCATAAGGTGCGCGCGTGAACATCGCCATTACGTCATGAACACGTCCACCACTGCCAGTGTGTGCAGACTGCACAGACCCACTTGGCACACCTAGTGGCGGCCAGTTCAGAGGTGCCGCGATTAGTGGCAGTCACTGGCAGACAATCTGGCAGCGGACAGCAAGCGCAGAACAGGACTGCAGGCACTAAAGGGAACATTCTTGACAGAGGCAGAAGAAGAGATAGGCAAAGAGAGGGACACTTCTTTTGTCAGGGAGAAAGAGAGAGGGAGACAATCGATGCCATTAATCAGTGCGGTCAGTGTGGTGGTGAGTGGGCTGTTGCGCTGGGTTGTTGCACAACCCAATTGAGTGTGTGTGAGTATGTGTGAGAGAGGGTGACCGACGACGACGACTACGACCACCACAGCTGAACCTGTTTGAAGTACTCGACTCGATTCCACCGTGACAGTGAATCATTGCTGCTGATGCGGGAAGAGTGAGAAAGAGAAAAAGAGATGGACAAGAGCGGCAGCTCAGGATTCTACAGGCTGTGGCTGAGGTGGAGTGCAGTGCAAATAATTTCATCTGCTGGAAAGAGAGGCTGCAACCGAATGCGAGCACTGCAGCTGCTGCAGCGACGGCCGCCGCATCTGAGCGACAATTGTGCGCCGGCCAGGGAGCCAGCCATTCAGTGAGCGGCATTTGCCTGACCAGATTGGCGCCCGCCAATTGAATGACCTCAGACGAAGGGGGTTGTCCAGCCACTGTTCGACCATCGATGCTGACCACTGTCCACTGCTGATGCTGCTGACCACAGAAACCATCACCAGCAGCAAGAGCAGCTGCAGCATCAGCATTCAATCTACTGATAACTGGCGTTCCCGCGACGCCTGATTGTCAGCAAAAAAACCAACAACTGCCAAAAGTAGCAAAAAAGTAATGGCGCATTGAGACAAGGCGCTCAGCAGTGGAAGTGTAAGCGAGGTGACAATTGCAGTTCTGCACTGTGTGCCGACAAGGCGGCAGCAGCAGAAGCGGCAGTAGTAACAATTTACATTGGCGCCCGGTGCCAGACGATGAGCAGAACGAGTATGAGAGAAAAACACTGCAAAGAGCGAAAGAACGGACGCGCAATATTGCCAAGTTTTGTGGTTGAGCTAAGAAGGCAGTGAAAAGAGAGAAAGAGATAGACAGAAAAAAGAAGTGAGAGAGAGAGCGAAGCCACTGGCTCGAACAATGAGTGACGAAGAATCCTTCGGTGTGAGTCGTTCGGCGTAGTAGTACTGCAATTCAACTTTCAAGTGGCGCCTCGATACCTAACAGCTAAGAGGTAGTGTGCGATGACGTCGGATCGTTAGGGGTAAGGAGAGTAGCAAGGCTGCTGCTGCTGCTGCCGTCGCTGATCGAGCCAACTGCTGGATTCATTGCTGCTGCTGCTGGCGCTCGTTGGATCCATGAGCACTGGCAGAGTGGCAGACACTGTGGCCGCTCGCTCGCTCGGCGCTGAGCCTCCAAACACACACACAAACACACAAACTGAGAAAGACAGGCAGAGAGAAAGACATTGAGGCTGCTCACAGCGACTGCTCTCCTCTCTGCTGCCGTCCCCCCTGATCTTGCTCCCTCACTGCTGCAGTGTACTCTCACTCCCAGCATAGCGTCTATGAGCGGAGATCTCAACAACCAGCCAGCCTCCTCCTCCTCTTCACTGCAAAGCTGTTGTGTTTATCGAGAGTTCCCTCTTCTCCGTCTCACCAGAATCCCCACTGTCCTCTCTCTCTCTCTCTCTCTTTCTCCTGAAGCCTGAAGCTGCTTGACCAAACGGTGACCAGAGGAGCTGATCAGCAGTGTGTAGACAACAGCAGCTCCAGCAGACAGCCTCGGGCCGCCCTGCCTCCCCCTCCCTTTCTTCTTGTCAGCAGCAGCAGAATCGATGCCATCGGGTGCCAGCAGCGTTCCATCAGACTGGCCCACGGGACGTTCGCTGTTCCAACAATCGATCAAACACTGACCTGCTGAGTTTGTACATGCAAACACACGCAGACACATACACACACCGAGACTTCACCACAGAACGACTCAACCACTACCGCAGCAGCAGCTACTGCAGGCAGGCAGACGGCAATCACACATCATTACACACAACATACACACCTCACCTCAAGATCTCGTCCTCGTTATCCACTTTATCGACACTCGTCTCTCTTTCTCTTTCTCTCTGTGTTAACTCTTCTCTCAGCTTGGCCTCACGTCTTTCTCTCGTTATCAAAGGGAAGCATTCACTGCAGCAGCATTCGTAGCTTGTGACCAATGTGTAAACAAATGTGCCCAATTCTTCACCTCGCCGAATGCTTGTGAATGTCACTTCGTTTTCTCCGTCGCTTCCTCCTCTTGTAATGTATTCCCTTGAGCACAACCAGTGCCGACACTGGTGAGGCACTGCAATTTTGTTGATGCTAATCACCACTTTCCACTCGCTCTCATGCTTAGATCGCTACGACATGTTTCCATAAAAGATGGCCAAAATGAAGCACAGCGACGGCAGGCAATGACTTTAGCCCTGACACCGATTCAATCACCGCCTGCCATTCTGGCCAAAACCTAAAGTTGCTTCCGATCAGGGCACTACTAATCGGAACAGAATGGATCACACGTGGATGGAATACACGGCCGCCCAGCAGGCGTACGCAAGTGGCTTGCAATTGCCGGCGGCAGCGGCAACCTCCCAAATAAACTCGGGATCTCATCCTCACCAGTACCCTCATCCGAACCGCAACTTGCACCAATCACTGAATCACATGGCAACTTTCAATAATGCAGCCTGTCAGAAGTCTCCTGGTGCAAGTGCGGCAAAGAGCTCCAAACCAAGCAGTATCGGCAGCCAGTTGACTGCTGCCAGCATGCACAGTCAGGCCAGTCACAACCAGCACCAGCACCAACAGCAGCAGCAGCATCACCAACAGCATCCAACTGGTCAGCAGCATCACCAGTCGGTAATGAACGGTCACCACCACCTGCCCCATCACCAGTACAATGCATCATCAGGTGGATCACCCTGGTTCTTTAACTCCCGTCAGCAGGCCAACTCCCACGACAGCTCTCTGCAGGTGCGCAATCACCCCGAACGCGGCAACCCATCTTTCAGTGCATCCGCCCCCTTCGGA